GAGGCCGCAGCTCCGCCTGCAACAGGGACAGCCAGTGGGAAAGTTGATCCCAGAGCCTTCAGCACCAAGGGGACAGCAGCAGGACCACCACAGGTCTGTCTGGGCAGCAGGAACACCATCCTCAGGTGGCCACCTGGACCCACAGATACCTTGAGTGAGGACACGGGGTGACAAAACACCCTATGAACCCAGGCTCTACCTAATCCATTAGGTACAGAGCACACTAATTGCAGTGAAACATTAAAGTAACATGTTATTACGTGTGTCTCCAGACCACACTCTTCCTTTTGTGACCAGGATTGCAACTGCCTTGTGAAGGTGGAGGAGGAAGCATGGTCCAGGCTGCTGGGAAACAACCTTACTCAACCCCATCCCACCCAGAAAGCCATTGCTACTGGAGAAGTCTCCATTACCCCCTGGCAAACTGCAGCCCCTTCTCCATAGCAAACCCAGGCACAGAACAGCAGGAGCCCCCACCCTGAAGCATCTTACAGCCCTTGCCAGCATGGAAGGGGCACATGGGGCTCAGGCAGCTGGGATCCAGATGGAGCAGTCCCCACACCAAGGTACCCCAAGGCCTCGGCACGACCCTCTGCAATTGCAAAACAGAGAAACCAGCTCGACCAGGGCGGCACGACGTGGGATGTTCGCTTCTCCAGGTGGTAACACCCAGCTCGTCTGCACCTGGTTTCACCCTGACCTGCGGTTCACCGGCACCCAGATCTGGGGAACCCGACGGGGGCAGCCACACCAACCCTTTAAGAGCACAGCTCCCCACAAGGTGAGCAGCAGTGAAAAGCAGGAGCATCCCCAAGAGTGTGACAAATAGGAGCTGATTTGCTTGCCCAGGAAGCTTCAGAGGAACCAGGTGACATGAACCAGCTGCCTGCAGCCAGCACCACCAAAACTGCCCCAACCGCAGCACTTAAACACCACTTCTAGTCATTTATATATAAAATGGTTTGACTCTGCCTTGACCACCACCTCCTGAGCTTTGGTAGGGCTCTCCCAGCAGCCAAGTGCTCTCGAGCTCTGAAATATTCCTCACTGCAGGGGTTAATATTTATTCTTTCTTCTGAGATTGTTTTTTCTCCTTTGGTGCACATAGCATCACTGGGACCTGCACTGCACCTCATCCACATCGTGCTGCTCTTTGCCTCCTGTAAAGCACATTCCCTTCTTGCTACAAAATACCCCTCATGCCCTGCCAGGAAAACCAGCTCCTTGGGGTGCCGACACCCCACATCTGGCAGCACTGTGGTGACACAGGGTCCTGCACGGGCCAGGGTGATGCATTTCCAATCGCTGAGATACAACGCTGCGATAAAACCCCCGTCCTCTTGCACAACTCCTTCCCGCAGGGTCAAGGCCGGCTGCCACGCCGGCAACCTCGCGCCAACGCCCTGGGGAGGGAGGGAGGATGCCCGCCAGCACCCTGCTGCGTCTGCTGGGGAGCGAAGGTGATCCTAGGACGCCGCGGCACTGGCAGGACCCACTCCACCTGCAGGCAATTCCTCGTGCAACAGCCCTGCTGCACCCCAAAGAGCACCTCGGCAGACTGGCAAGGGGTTCCCGAGATGATGGAGGATTGTGACACCTCGCCCTCATCCCAGTTGCTCTTTGGTTCTCCCCTGTGCTAGGGGACTGGGTTGTGGGCTCTGGTCCCCATGCCCGGGTGGCAGCAGGTTCACAGGGTGCATCTGCACCCTCCACCCAGGCAGCAATCCCTAGCCAGGGGGCAACAGGGAAGACCCAAAGCAAGGTGAAAAAGCAGGAGCTGGTGGAGCCTGGAGGAAGGCAGCACCACCCCGGGTTCCTGCCCTGGGAAGGGGCTCAGGCTCTGTGAGCACCCACGCTCCCGGTGTCCTTGGCAGCACCACTGGGTTGGTCCACGCCGATAGCTCGGGACAAAGCCGGAGGGAGCACCCGGCAAGTGGTGCTGGCAGCACTCCCGGGCAAGGAGGAGGAGGAAGGGCTTCACTCCCATCCGTACCAACAAAGCCCTGGCAACCCAGGCTCCCTGAGATACCGGGTCTAGGAATTTGGAGGTGAGGAGAGACAGGAGAGCCCTGCAGCATGGACAGATGCCCTGGGGCAGGAGGATAGGGCACAGCAGCGAGGGAGGCACCGAGACCTCAAAGGCAGAAGCACTGGGTGCAGGCAGCCCGGCCGAGCTGTGACCCGGCCCCCTC